AGGAGAGGTCTGTTGTGCTATGTGGGGTTAGCTCCCTGGCTAGGGATCAAACTGGTGCTGCAATAGCTGCAGACTGCTTCATAGTGCTGACACTTTACCCCTTGTGCCACCAGGGAGGGCCACTACACATTTTAAAATTCCCTTCTATGTTAATGGTTTTTCAAATTTCAGGCATCTTAGAACAATATATATCTCAATTCATGCTATGTCTTTTTGAAAGGGAAAAATGGATAATCATTAATGAATATGAGAAGAAAAAAAAATCTTTCCTTAGTAGTGAAGAAAACATAGGTATAGAATGTAGTTGTAGGATAATACTTGACAATAAGAGGAGGGCATTAATCATTAGGATGCACGTGTATTTCATAGTGTGTGTTTGTGGGGTATGTGTGTAGCTCTTGCTATATTTTAAACCTCTTTTTAAAAAATACAATACAGTGAATGTAGACTACATATTCCTATAGCATACTTTTAATATACATTGTAAATTTACTATGTTCTGGTTTTAATAACAAAACATTAATTTTAAAGGGTTCAGTAGGAGGGAAAAAACGGACTTAAGATGAATAAGAAGTCCTCAGTCTGGGCCACTGTTCCATTTTCCAAATAAGAGGCAACAGGGCCTCCCAGGTGGTGCAGAGGGATGAGAGCAGTGCTGTGAAGCTGTCTGCAGCCTTTGCAGTGTGGGTTTGATTTCCAGCTGGCCAAGGAGATACCTGCATGGCGTGGCAGACCTCTCCTGTCTCGCCTGCTGCTCCCCTCAGCAGGGTTTTCGTCTGCCTGTTCTGCTCTCCACTCTGTCTCTGGTGAATCCTCTCACCCTCCTGCACCTCTAGCCTGTACCCCGGTTCTTGTATAAATAAAAAAATCTTTAAAAAAATATCCAAATGTATAACAGGAAAAAAAAAAAGCTTAATGTTCCTCAGAAATCACTTAAATGTTGTCTCTCAAAAACAAAAGGCAAATGTGAAGGACTCCACAGGGCACACTCATAAAAAAAGACACAATTTGAAAGGTTTTAGCTAGTACTATTTTTAAGTAAAATATTAAAAGTTTTAAAAACTTAATGGTTATGGGCCTCCCTGGTGGCACAAGGGGTTAAGAGGCAAGATATGAAGCTTTATGCAGCTGCTGCAGCATGAGTGTGTTCCCCGGTAAGGGAGCTACCCAGATGGCTCAGCAGACCTCTCCTGAGTCGCCTGCTGCTCCCCTCGGCAGTATATTTCAGTCAATCTGCCTGTTCTGTTCTCCACTCTGTCTCTGGTGAATCCTCTCACCCCCCACACCTCTGGCCTGTACCCCAGCTCTTGTATGCAGAAATAAATCTTTGGAAAAAAAAAAAAAACCTTAATTGTTATATACTTTAGGGCTTACCCTACACCAGGCACTGTTACAAATACCTTATTTAGAGTAATTCACAGACTCCTCATAAATCTAATTGATGCCTACCATTATTACCCATATTTTCCAGATGAGGAAACTGAGGTACAGAGATCACACTAGCCCAATACCACATAACGTGTAAAAAGTTTTAGCACAGAATCCTGCACTTATTTACTATAAATGGATAGTTAGCATTTTTATTATCATCTCATGCCTTTATTACTGGAATTGTACCCTGACTTTCCATGTTATTGCTCCTCTCCAATCTTCTGCCTAAAGTATAACTAGAGACTTTTAACAAATGCAAATCTGATCATATACCCTTCTATCTCCCTGAAAGCCCTTTAATAGTTCTTTTAGAATAGGGCTTTTAGAATAGACAGACTCATCTGTAATCATTCTTGCCTTTTAATCCCAAACCAGTTTAGACAGGCCATTCACTGTATGAAGGCTTTTGTCCAGTATGTCCCTTTTGTGAAATCCCCCTACAGGTTACAGTTTAGTTCTAGCCATCCTTCAGAACTCAGCTGAAAAGTCACTTCCTCCCTTACTAAGTCTGGTCCCTTTATTTTGCAATCTCATTATGCCATTTTTTTTTTTTTATATCCTAGAACTCCTCAGTTTGAACTGCACATTTATATGAATAACTACTATTTCTTATTTTACATTTATTTGTTTCCTCCAAAGGCATCTCAGTGGGAGTTTTAGATATTACTTCCACCCAAGCCTATTCCATTTACCAGCTCTTCCAACACAGAAAATAGCAATACCATTCTTGCGGTTGCTCAGGCCAAAACCCTCCAATTTTCTTTCATACTCCCCATCAATCAGGAAATTCTATTGCCTTCCCAGAATTCAACCACTTTTTCCCTATTTCCATTGCCACACCAATCACGCCCAGGATTGATGCTATACCTCATAACGCATCTCTTTGCTTCTTTCTTATTCCTATTAACTTATATATTTACAGAGCAGATCCATCCTTTAAATATATGTAAATCATTTCCTTCTTCTATTCAGACCTTTCAATAACTTGCCATCTGACTGTGAATTCTGGGCCCCAAATCCATGTGACTGTATTGAAGATAGTACCTTATAGGAGGTGATTAAAATTTAATGAGGTGATTACAGTGTAATAAATCTGTTTTTTTAAGTCACCCAGTCTGTTATTTTGTGATGGTAGCCCAAGCTGCCTAATATACCATCCCATTTAGAATAAAAAAACACAACGCAGAGTACTAACCCCTTTCAATAGTCAAAAAGGTCATGTCCCAAGCCCCCAAATTCTCTGACCTAATTCCCTTTGATTCTCTCCATCCTTTATACAGTTCCAGTCACACTGTTCTACATGCAATTTCATGAACATGTCAGGCATGTGCTCACTTTTGGGCCTTTGCTTTTCCTCTGCCTAGAACACTTCTCAAATAATTGCATCATTTCCTTCCTCACTCAAATATCACCTTCTCAATGGGGCCATCCTGTGAAAAATTTTACTACCTCCATCTCACACACATAGTCCTTAGCACTTACCCCTAGGCAAGCTGTGTATTTTTGTTTATTGTCTCTCTCTTCTTCACTCGACTATGAACTCCACAGGAGAAGGGACTGCCTATTTTGCTCACAGCTGTTGCCCCGAACTTAAGTATACCTCATAGTAGGTGCTTACCATCTGTTTAATTTAATGAATGTTGAATGCCAACAGCTACCAAATGAGCTTTAGAGCTAAAAGGTACCCAATACACCAGCTACTCAGACAGTGCTCCCCTTGTAGAAACTGTATTGCTTAAAGTATCACCTGATTATTCTGGTCTTTTCTGGCTTTCTGCTAATATTTAGTAAAGCATAAGCAGGATTTTAACAACTGCGGCTAAGTTATCTAACTCGGAGGGTGGGAAGTGGCCGAAGGGGCTCCCCTCCTCTTTCCAACTTTACAGCAGAGAAAATGAATAGATGAAAAGTTTTGAAGGTCAAACAAGATCATCAGTGACAATTTTGAAAACTGCCTTGTTGGGGCTTTCTTCACAGGATTTCCAAACAGTGCCGCGAACTCTGCAATACTTTATGCTTCAAGGATACGGCAAAGACTTGCCTTTATGCCCATAAGTAAAAATGCTAAATACGTAAATAAAGTTCCAATAGTAAAAAAAAATAAATCATTTTTGTTTTCTACATGGTGCTGCAGGCATTTGGGTTAAAAATGGATTCTGCTGCTAAAAAATCTGCAATAATGACATCCCACTACATTTCACAGAGGAGAAAACAGGCCCCTGTGAAGAGAGCAGTACCTTTCCGTTTTAATTAAAACTGAGGAATTTTTCACAACTCGAACCATGCAGGAATTTCCCCGTTAGCTGTTGCTCTCAATGTATTCTGAGAGCTGAGTCGAGAGTCCTATCACTTTTTGGTAATGCTTTCTTAAAATTAAGAATGGTCTTCAAACAATAAGGTACCACAACTGATCTCCCTTCTCACCTTCAAACAGCCCAGCTTTTACAATAAAGGTGGCATCGGAAGTGTGGACACACCCACTGCATCGCGACGGGACTGAATCTGTGGTTGTGCGACTCTACCGCGGCCCGGCGGGAGACTTCACCGCCTGAGGCGACACTGAGGTAACCCTGCCTTCCGCCGGGCTCAGGCCGGGAGGGAGTGCGGGGCGTCGCCGCGGGCCGGAGCCCCTAGCAGGCCTCACGCGAGGTCGCGCCTCGCCCGACGCTTCTGAAGCACCTGCGGGCGCGCCAGGGAAGCCCTTGGCATCAGGCGCGGGGGGCGGGGGCCTCCGCCGTCGCCAACCCGGTGTCGGGTACCACGCGCCTGAGGGGACGCGGCCCGTAGCCCCGCGGCATCTCGCGAGATCTCGCCAGCTCAGCCCAAGCACTGCGAGCGCAGAACTTAAAAAAAAAAAAAAAAAACCCCACACGATCCAGCGGACTCTAGAGCTTCTGGAGGTGCTGCCGAGGTGGCAGCTGGCACGGAACCATCCGCAATCGGCGAGCGCCGAGCAGGAGCCTGCCGCGCCCCGTCGCCGGCCGCCGGGAGCGGTCCCCAGGCGGGTCGGCCTCGGCCCGGGCTTTCAGCCAATCGACGCGCAGCCCCAGGGGCGGGGAGAGCAGGAGGCGGCCGGGGGCCCCCGGCTCATCTTCGCCTCAGGGGGCGGGGGGGGCGGGGGAAGGAGGCAGAGGAGGAGGAGGGCGGGGGAAGGAGTCGGGGAGGGGGGAGGGGGGAAGAGCAGGGGAGGGGGAAGCGGGCGACGGAAGAGAAGGTAGCGGCGCGGGGATCTTCCCGGCGTCGGCGGCGCGGCGGGCCACTGCTACGCCTGCGCCCCGATTCCCCTGCTCGCGCGGCTCGCGCTGCCCGCGCTGCCCGCACTGCGCGCCGCCGGCGCCCGGACGAGAACCTCGCGCGGGCCGCTCTCGCGTGGGGTCGCGCGGGCGCCGGGGAGGACCCGGGCGCCGAGGGAGCGCCTGCCGCGCGCCGCTGCGGGGCCGCGGGTGGGCGGGCCGAGGGGCGGGGGGAGCGGCCGGCCCCGCCTCCCTCGTGCTGCCGCCGGAGCCGCCGCGGCCGCGGCCCCGCCGAGGCTTTAAACAGCGGGGCCCGCCCCGCGCCCGCCGCACTCGCGCGCTGACTGTGCTGCCGGCGGCGTTCGCGCCGGCCCGGGCGAGCGGCTGCGGCGGCGGCGAGGAGCGGGCGGCGGGGCAGCGGCTCCCTCACCGGGCGTTGCGGCCGCGCCACTGTCGGCCGGGGGCGCGGAGGGGGCGCAGCCCGCGACGTCCGCCCAGCTCTCCGGGGCCGTCGGGGGTCGGGCGGCGATGGAACCCGGGCCCGCGGCGCCCTCCGCCGGCGCCCCGAGGCTGGCCGGGGCCGGGGCCGGGGAGACGCCGCCCGCCGCCGCCGCGCTGGCAGCCGCCGGGGTGGACCTGCCCGGCACGGCCGTGCCCTCGCTGCCGGAGGATGCGGCCGCGGGCCGGGGCGGCGGCGGGGTGCGCGGGGAGGGCGCCGCGGCGGCCGGGGACGGGCTGGGCAGACCCCTGGGGCCCACCCCGAGCCAGAGCCGCTTCCAGGTGGACGTGGTTTCTGAGAGCGCCGGGCGGGCGGCCGCGGCCGCGGCTGCGGCGGCTGGAGCAGGAGCAGGAGCAGGAGCAGGAGCGGGGGGCAAGGAGACCCCGGCGGAAGGGAAAGCCGGCGGCGAGAGCGGGCCGGCCAAGGGCAGCGAAGAAGCCAAGGGTCGTTTCCGCGTGAACTTCGTGGACCCGGCTGCCTCCTCCTCGGCCGAGGAGAGCCTTTCCGACGCGGCGGGGGTCGCCGGCGACGGGCCCAACGTGAGCTTCCAGAACGGAGGGGACACGGTGCTGAGCGAGGGCAGCAGCCTGCACTCGGGCGGCGGCAGTGGGCACCACCAGCACCACTACTATGACACCCACACCAACACTTACTACCTGCGCACCTTCGGCCACAACACCATGGACGCGGTGCCCAGGATCGACCACTACCGGCACACGGCAGCGCAGCTGGGCGAGAAGCTGCTGCGACCCAGCCTGGCCGAGCTCCACGACGAGCTGGAAAAGGTGAGCTCTCCCGACCCTCTCTCGCCAGCCCTCCCTCTTCCCCCAGCCCCCGGTCCGCGTTGTGGCCTCAGGCTCTGCACGGGTGAGGTGGCGGGAAGGGACGTGCACGGCTCACTGGCAGCTCAGGACTCAGCTGTCAAGGGTGGAACTGCGGAGGAATGTAACTTAATCTTTTAAAAGTTTGCTGTGGGTTAGGCTCGTTACGTGAGAGGCTGCATTTAACAACCTTCCCCATCCAGTGAATATACCTCGCGTACTGGGCTCTCACCCACGTTTACCAATTACCATCCTTCCAAATGACAGCTGGGCTTGTGGTCCCCGGGAAGGGTGCGTGCAGGAGGACTTCTCTCTGGCAAGAATGGGGAGCACTTACCATCGGTGTCCTTTTTAAAGATTGAATTATATGACTTCTGGACACCCATTAGGGGGTCCCAGGAGTAGGGAGGATAGTATTTGGAGGAGAAATCTCAATAAGGGTGTGTTTTGTGGGCTATGAATTATTAAAACTCAATTCCTGCAATCTTAAATATTCAAAAGATCGTGGAAATCTTAAATCTTGGGCCATACTGTACCTGATAAAGGCATAAATCCCTCTTTTATAATATAAATCTTTTGCTAGAGGACTACATAAACTATTCATTTCTGTAATTTTATTTATTTGGGGGGCACAAAGGAATTTTATTCATGATTCAAAATCATTTTGAGATAACACTGATGCTTTTGAGATTTGATTAATATTTAACTTTTTATGATTGGGATTACTTGCAGTCTGCCTTTTATGTGTATAATTACTACATTGATGGGATTTTGTGACTGTAAAGACTTGCTACCATATAGGGAGAAATAATCATAGTGTGAAAAAGTTTATATACACAAAGTATGTAATTTCTTTTTGATAAGATTACTAGATATCACACAATTGTTTCATACAAGACTGTGCTTGCCCCAATATTTGATAATGTAACACTCACACGGTTTGAAGGGATCACAGAGATCTCAGCTCTTACAGCTTATTGATTGTTTAAAAGCCTGACATCATTTAACTTTAGATAATATTACTCCTGTTTTTCCTTTGTGGTATTTTGCCACATCAGAAGATAAACAATGTTTAAAACAACTACTCATACTCCTGTAGTTTCTCTTAAATTTTTCATTTCATTTTAAAACTCAAAATCTTTGACATTTCACCAAAGTTTAGCAGTAAAGCAATCTATAGTTACTCCCAAGTTTTTGGAAGACTTTTTTTTTTTTTTTTTAAGATTTATTTATTTATGCATACAAGAACTGGGGTAGAGGCCAGAGGTGTGGGGGTGAGAGGATTCACCAGAGACAGAGTGGGGAGCAGAACAGACAGATTGACTGAAATACACTGCTGAGGGGAGCAGCGGGTGAGTCAGGAGATGTCTGCTGAGCCATGTGGGTAGCTCCCTGGCCAGGGATTGAACTTATGCTGCAGTGGCTGTGGATAGCTTCTTAGGTTGAATCTTAATCCCTTGCACCAAAAGGGAGGCCCTAAAGATTTATTTATGCATACAAGAGCTGTGGTGCAGGCAAGAGATGCTGGGTGGGGGGTAGTGGTGAGAGGATTCACCAGAGACAGAGTGGGGAGCAGAACAGGCTGACTGAAATACACTGCTGAGGGGAGCAGCAGGCGAGACAGGAGAGGTCTGCTGCACCATGTGGGTTACCTCCCAGGCCGGGACTGAACTAGTGCTGCAGTGGCTGCAGATAGCTTCACAGTGCTGCTTCTTAACTCCTTGTGCTACCAGGGAGGCTCCTGGAAGACTTTTTAAATTGAACTTGGAAAGTTTTTGTTATTTTAAATTAAGTACTAATCAATAATGAAAGCACCTCAGGTTTGGGGTTTGTTTTGACATTTTTTGGGTGAGTTTACTGTGTCCAAAATAGAACACTATCTGTTGCATAAATGAAACTCTGAACCTAACATTTTACATAATAGTGTAGTGTAGTTGAAGAAGTCACTCAGTGTCTCAACTTCCTCATTTTTCATCTTATTTAGCAAAAGTTGCACATAAAGGTCTATGTTACATGCTTGAAAAATAATGGATAGTGTAATTATTTTAATTTCATATTGGTCCTACAGAAATTCAGTTGTCAAACTCTAGGATTTTAATTTTAGATTCTTTAATTCCTATATTATTAGGTGAATGTAGTATGTAAAATGTTAGGTTTAGAGTTTCATTTATGCAACAGATAGTGTAATAAGTTCTTTATAGTTCAGGTATTCGGGTCCTTAATGGCCAAAGAAAAAGGTGATTAGCTTAACTAAGCATAGAACCTCATATTAAAGATAATTTTGTTTAGGATTTTAGCAGGTGCATTAAAGAAGCTGTCATGTTAAGGAGTATACAAATCTGGCTATAAAAATATGCTGCTGTTGAACGGGATTTATGGGAGGGAGGATGATGACATAAGTTGACCAGATCCCCAAAATGTTGTTTCTTACCTTGTATAGATTGACATCTACCTCTTTAAAACCTTTCCCATTGCGTTAGCTCTTGATGAAGCATAATATTTAGAATTTCTGTAACAATTATAGCACTAAGTTTTTAATCAACTTGGTTCTATGCTGAACTGAAATGAATGCAAACTTAGCAAATCCTTATTGAGCACCACCAGTTCTAAGTGCTGGGACCAGCAGTGAACCCAACAAAGTACTGACTCTTTCATTGTAGAGTTAGGAGACAATAAATAAGTCAGGTGTGACTCCTGTGAAGATTAAACATGGATAGACTGGTCACTAGGGCAGTGCTGGTGAAGAGTACTTACAGAAGGCCTCTCTGATAAGTGAGCAGACACTAGGAGAGAGTGAGGGGCTCGCTCCCTGCAAAGATCTGGGGAAAAAACACTGGGCAGAGGAACTGCAAACATCAAGACCCTGAGATAGCGCCTCCCTGTCCACAGCCTCTGCAGCACAAGTTCCATCCCCTGGCCAGGGAGCTACCCACATGGCTCTAACAGACCTCTCCTGACTTGCCAGCTGCTTACCTCAGCAGAATACTTTGGTCAATCTGTCTGTTCTGTTCCCCGCTCTGTCTCTGGTGAATCCTCTCACCCCCCACACCTCTGGCCTGTATCCCAGCTCTTGTATGCATGAATGAATAAATCTTTTTTTATTTTTTAAACCCATTGAGAAATGAGATCAGCAAGACTGGCGTGAAAAGAGTGATAGGAGAGAAGATCAGATTGTAGTAGTGAGGAACAAATAGTGTAGAAACTTGTAGATCATGATAAAGATTTAGGATTTGATTTTGCGTGATCTAGAGAGTCATAGAGGCCTTTGAGCACAGATTTGACATGATTTGTCTTTTGTTTTTAAAATGCCACTCTGATTGCTTTGTGGAAAATATACTGTTGACTGGGGTAAGGGGGGGAAGCTGGTACATGAGTTAGAAACCTATGACATCGGGCCTCCCCGGTGGCGCAGCGGTTGAGCGCTGGGTTGCGAAGCTGCCCGCAGCCTCTGTAGCGCCGGTTCAATCCCCGGCTGCTCCCCGGTCACCGGAGGAGGGTCCCACATGGCGCGCAGACTCTCCTGCCGCCCGCTGCTCCCCTCAGCAGTGTACTTCGGTCCTTCTGCCTGCTCTGCTCCCCGCTCTGGCTCTGGTGAATCCTCTCACCCTCCCGCACTTCTGACTGTACCCAGTGCATGTATAAACAAAACAAACAAACAAACAAATAAATAAATAAAACATGCCTCTATTAAAAAAAAAAAAAGAAACCTATGACATCAATTCAGTTAAGATGTTGATGACTTACACTGATATAAGAGTGCTTGATGTATTGAGAGATGTCAAATACCAGGTGTTTCAAAGGTAGAATTGTTGGGATTTGCGGGTCTCCCCTGGTGGTGCAGGTGGTTGAGCACAGTGCTGTGAAGCTGTCTGCAGTCTCTGCAGTGCCGGTTTGATCCGGCTGGCGAGGGTTCCACTTGGCGTGGCAGGCCTCTCCTGTCCACCCGCTGCTCCCTTCAGCAGTGTATTTCGTCAATCTGCCTGTTCTGTTCCCCTCTCTGTTTCTGGTGAATCCTCTCACCCTCCTGCACATCTGTACCCTGGTTCTTGTATAAATAAATAAATAAATCTTTAAAAAAAAAAAAGAATCGTTGGGATTTGCTGATGGTTTGGATAAGGGATGTACGGAAAGATTAATACCAGGATTTCCCCCTTGTTTAGAATATATATAAATTTCCCCCTTGTTTAGAATATATATATATATATATATATATATATATATATATGGAGAAAGGAGAACGCTGCAGCAAGAGCAGTTTTGTGAGTTGTACGCAAGAGATAGGTTTCAGTCTATAAGTTATACAATGGCGCAAACATAAAATTGCAACTGGTTTGTGAAATAATAGAACTTAAGAAAACGTGTTTTAGAGTCCCCATTTCTTCTTCAGAGAAGAAGGACTTCCTTTGAGGAGAATAACTACCATGACTTCCAGTGCTTTGTTACATCAGATGTGAGAACTTTTGGCAAAGCAACTATGCTCTCATATTGTTATAGCATTCATTATATGCCTGAGGGTTGCAGCTTTAAGTTTGTGGTAGCTGAACCAAGAAAGAAGACATAAAGATTTCTAAGGAAATTAAGATACCATGAAAGATTTTGAGGAGATAAGGAAGGCTGGTATCTTTCAGAGAACAAAATGATCCTGAAACTTAAATCATTTCTTTGGCTTGACTTCCAAGGGATTTTGTCTCACTACCTTATACCTCCAAACTGTGAAACATGAATATTAGGGCTAAGGGATAATTTTTTATTTTTTTACAAAGATTTATTTATTTATTTATTTATTTATTTATTTATTTATACAAGCACTGGGTACAGTCAGAAGCGCGGGAGAATGAGAGAATTCACCAGAAACAGAGTGGGGAACAGAACAGGTGGACTGATGAAATACACTGCTGAGGGGAGCAGCGGGCGTGGCAGGAGAGGTCTGTCGTGCCATGTGGGACCCTCGGACCCTCGGTGTT